TTGATGGAATATTTTAGGTTTATAATTAATTTTTCAAGTTGGTGTGCTTAAAAGTAAATTGGGTTAGCTTATTGGGTTTATAGATAAAAATTTTATTTATTTATTATTACTTTTAGCTACATTGAACTGATGTTATGGAGCTGAGAAAAGTTTCAAAACCCGCGGAACATTATGTACTTAAGATGAATTTTTGAAGTGTTTGGACTTATAAGCAACCTTGTGTTTGTAAACAAAAATTACTTATTCTCTCTTTTAACAATAAGTTATTGGGGTATATTGTAGAATGATCAATTGTACTAAGTTGCAATACTAACCCTAGTAGCTTTAGCATACATATAAAAGTTTTTTGCAACCTAAGTGCTAACAACTACGCATCGGCGTTGCAACCTAAGTAACCATACCATATAATTGAGAAAAACATTCCTTTTGGTTTGTGCGTCAAATTTTTAGAAAATGCAAAAATAGCTTTACACTTTGAAAATTTAAATGGTACTCACACTAGTGGAAAAAAAGAAAAATATCTTAACTCTAGGAAGAATTAACTTAAATGCTCTTTGGCTTGCGAAATTAATGGAAACGCCCTAAACGCTCTCTCCCTTGTAGAAATTTTAACGAAACACTCTCATATTCTTGTATCATACGCACATCTCGTGCATCAGAGTACTATTAACTAATACTTACAACTTTAGCCCTAAACGTTCCTTTTGGTTTGTGTGTCAAAATTTTTTGATTTTTTGATTTTCATCTATACACATCTAAAGTGTGAAGTTCTATGAATGTAAATACTACACTAGTACATAAGATGATTGTCTTACAATTTTTTTGAACTTCTAGATTTAATTAAGTATGAAACTAGTGTCAAAACCATTTTCACTTGCTAGTGGTGGAGGTAGTTAGTCTTCTATTGACCAAAGGGGGAAAAAATGGTGAAATTCCAAGCCTACAAATCCCCCATTATTTGCATGAGGTCATCAAAGTCAACCATTTTCATAAACACCACCACCAATTGAATCTCTAGAAAATCTTGTCACATCATCAAATGTAGACTTGAGGACCATGACTATATATAGAACAAACTCCTTTTGGTTCAGAACTTGATTTCAAAGTGACAACTCACCCAATGCATCCAATTTAAACTACTGACCCCCACAAGACTAGTGGACTGTAGACTACACCACAATGAAGCTGATTACTAGTAGAATTATTTGAAAAAATGAAACTCAATAAGGATGCTCTATAGGAAATCATGCAATTAAAATGAAAGAAAAAAATTTTTAATTTCAATTTTAAATCAGTACAATCAGTATTATTATGTCACAGCAATCATAATTTCCCTTACTATTAAGGTTTGATTATTTTCGTATCGTAATCGGGTTGTTGATGTTATTTTAACTATATATTCGCATTGAATTTGTTGTTGTTTGCACAGATTTACACAAATTGAAAATTGATATGTTTATTATCCGCAATCTAACACGCACCTTTGTCTATTTCCTCTCTGTCACAATCTTTTATAGAAAGAGATGGAGCAAGAGACAAAACAAAATAAGTTCCTTTATTGAATGTATCGTCCCTAATTAATTATGCATGGACCATGGTTCTTCTTCCACAAGGACCTACCTCCTTCCATGGATGAACTGTTCAAGGAGAAGACCAAGAGAAAGAGGACAGAGAGAAAAAAGGATGATAACTTTTTCCCTTACAAGAGCTTTTTAGTCTTTTAGAATCTCATTATTATTGGATCCAATTCAACATAAGTTAGCTAGTGCTTGTTAGGCTACACAACAACATGTAGCCATGAAAAGTGAGCAGTCAAAAGAGCGGGGTTTGAGTAAGGATGCGGACAACTACGTGAAAGAGTGGAGATGTAGAGGGAGTACTACGTGAATAATAGAAATATAATAGTTTTAAGAATAAAGAACTTTTGAATACTATCTTGTCTGCCATTGGAATCCTCCAAATTAATCTAGATAACGAATATCATGATGATGCTTGTCAATTTATTCCAATAATTTCCCTAAGCAATTACTTATCGGTGGGATTGGTATAAGTTTTTCAACAATCATATAAATACTTTTTGATGGAAAGAATAGAATCAACACCTATTTGCAAACTCATGAATATTTGTGTAATAACTCAAGAAACCTATATATATTCCTTAATTTCTATTGTTTGTCATACTTGAAGAAGTGACATGTACATGTTTCTTCCCCTATTTTTTTCGTCGTCTAGAGTAACATGCACGTATTGTTGATGGCTTAACCTCCTTTGTGGATGATATAACTCCTACTTTAATTTTCTTTTAAGAGAATCAATCAATATATAGGCTGAATTTTTGGATGAAAAACATCATGCCCAAGGGATAACTAGAAGGTCAAAGAAATGATCCATCCTCATGAGGTAGTCAAAATTTTAACCTTCCACTTTAGAATTTTCTTTTTTCTTCCTTTCTCAAACCTCATTTCCATATTTGTCTTCAGACAGAGAGAGAGAGCGAAGAGAGAGAGAGAGAGAGAGAGAGTATTCAATTCAGCATCTCTCTCTCTTTTTTCCCCTCCATATTTCATCATGCTCTTTCCACATGCTCTTTGTTCGGTCGTTCTTTGAACTCAGCTATAAATTACAATATTAGTTATAGTACAATTTACATCATGACCTTTTTATTATATTTGGTAATATTAACTAAATACATCTTGGACTCTGAAATCATCAGCTTATGTCAAACTAATTAAGGTGAAACTTGAACATCAAAAGACTAAAGACTATAGCATTCCTCAAAACACTTTCGGCAGAAGTTACTCAATCCTTTAACTCTTCGATCACCTCTTCTAGATCTCTCTAGTCTCTTAAGCTCTACTTTAATCTCTCACAGATAAAGTTTTATGTTTTGTCAATAATAAAACTGCATGTACTATTTTTTTCCCAAGGATAAACTGTGGACAACCCCTTAACTATACTTGCATTGACACTTATATATCACTCATCAACTATTTTAACGTCTCTGAATTGGTTTCTTAAGGGGAAAAAATGCAAATAAACCCCCTCAATCATGAATTTAGGGCTCTTAATTGTTAGTCTAAGCGTAGACCCAAAGCTGAAGACGAAGCTGGAATCAGGAAGACGAAGGAAACAGTCAAGACAAGCTACGGTCGACCGCGGCGGTTGGTGCGGTCGACCGTGGCGGTTGGTGCGGTCGACCGCGAACGTGCACGAGATAGGAAAAGTCTCTGGACTTTTTCCGTTCGACCGCGGCAGATGGTCCGGTCGACCGCGAGACCCTGTAGGTATTTTTGGGTTTCTATCGTTTATCCGGTCGACCGCGACTGATTCGGCGGTCGACTGCGAGTGGAGCTGGCAGTTTCCTAAACTGTTTTGAATTCTGTTTGGGCTGGGATTCATATATATACCTATATGTTTCTAGGGCTAATTAGAAGGTCGAAAAAAGTCAGAAGACAAGAAAACGAGAGCTTTTGAGAGAGAATCTCAGAGAGATTAAACCCTAGTTTGAGTGCTTGTATTCCTTCTTCAATTAATCAAAGGAATTGTATGGTGTGGCTCCCGAGGACGTAGGCACGTTGCCGAACTTCGTTAAATCCGTGTGTTATTTTTGTTCTTATTTCCTGCAAGTTTTTATCTTTGATTTGTGGTGATTTTTTTTCTTGCTCAACTCTCAAACACAAGATCCAGAAGGGTATGGATTCGTGATTGTTTGGAATCCCCAACACTAATGTATAAGTTTAAGATGTGGTTACTGGTTAGTGCTACTAAAAGTGTATATAACTATATGCAGTTTGCCCCATTTTCAAACGAACCCTTTAGCTTGTACTTTTGTTTATAGGACCAACTCCCTAAGAGGTTTATCCGCAAAAAATCCACTATTGAGATAAACTATGATAAAAGTATGCAAAGAATGGGCCAATATTTCCCCAAAGGGCTAGACATCACCCTTACTATATAGGTGACACTAGTCCTTTAAACTAATTATAGATGTTGGCATTATAACCTACAAAACCCTCAGATCTAACCCCCCAAAATTTTATTAAATTTTCAACAATTTATCTATTGAGGTTAATGGCTCGAGGTTGGACCCAATTATCTTTTTATGTCACTAGAGAAATTTTAATGTGGTAGGTAACTTATAAGTATATCCCTACTTTATTCTTCTGACAAGTATTATTATTATTGCTATTATTATCCTCCATAAATTTGCTCTCTTATTCAACACATTTGCTTCAGTCTCATGAGTCTTGTGACTCACTGACTCACTACCAGAGCATCCCTTTTTCTCCCCCCCCTCTATCAAAAATCCAAATTGTGACCCAGCATTTAAGGGAAATTGTTTTTGGTTGGGTAAGTTTTGTATGGCTAATATTGGAGAATTATATAGGATAACATTGTCTTGAGTGGCTAAGGTTTTGACTTGCCTATGTTAGAGAAAATTATAAGGTTCATCTTCATTTACAGAGAAATATGGGAGGGAAGTTTGAGGATTTCCAGGTCCGTATGTTTGAATCAGACTATCCTGCTTGCATGTTGTTTTGTTCTAATATGATTTGTATTCCAATTACCAACAATAAAATTACCATAATACTCAAGTACATCTAAATAATTAGTCTTCTCTTCCAATAATATATTCAATTCAAATAACTCCTAATAAAGACAGACCTCTTTTGTCCTCTCCCATCTCTGTCTTTTTATCCTTGTGCTCATATAGACTACCCTACACACTTTAGATATCCAACGAATTCAAAGACCAATTACTTACCATTCAAACTTTTGCTTTTGCTTTTGCTTTCTCCTTCATCATAAAATTCCTCCAACCTCACGAACACATTCGCATAATCTTTTCACGAGCTGAGTTTATAACCATGAGCATCCCTCATTTGTTCAGGTGCCCAATAAGCCTAGACCTGTTCACCGACCCGGTCACTCTCTGCACCGGCCAGACCTACGACCGGCCGTTCATCCAGCA